GCCAGCTGACCCCTGCTCTTTTTCTCCTCAGCACTCACCATCTGACTCGCTAGCTGGCTTTCTGGTGTATCTTGCTGTGAGCTGTCTCCTTTCCCCTCAAATGTGAGCTTGGCAAGGGCAGGGACATCCCCGGCTCCCCTGTCCTCTGCCAGGCCCCGGCAGAGCTCAGCTCTCACCCGACAAGGATGATGGAATAGGTGGCGGGTGGGTGTGATGGGCCCTTTGTGGGGAAAGCAGGTGTCTGCCGAGGAGAGGGCTTGGGCACATGTCCGTCCCAAAGCTTGAGGCGGGGTCTGGGGCCAGGGTACCTGAGGATTCCCTGCAAGGACTAGGCAGGAGGAGAATGGAGGGCTGGGCCCGTGCATGGGCAGCAAGAGCTGAGCAGAGGCATGAGGGGGAGTGGTGTAGGGCTTCAGGGGGCCGTGAGGGCCTGCGGGGCTGCCAAGGTGAGCCAGACCCCCCTCCAGCGTCAGAGCACAGCGCAGGGAGGCAGGCGGCCAAGGGGCCTCTGGAGCCAGGGGGTGCAGATGATGGCAGAAGGGCGAGGGGGCCAGTGAGCGCCTCTCCGTCGCCCGCTTCCTGCTCGAGTTCCACTTGAGTGACTAGGAAAGGGCGGCCGTGGCCCCTGCCGCATCCTCCGCTCGGGCCCAGGGCCCTGGCCGAGTCAGCACCCTCCATTGCCCGGTGGGGTGGGGGCAGTTTTATTCAGGGCAGGAGGAAAGGAAGCCTGTGCACACACGCACACGTGTACACACGCACTCCCGAGCGCGGTCACACTCGCGGACCTGGCTCCTCCACGGGCACTCGTTTCCTTGGCGTGGGGAGCTGCAGGGTGGTGCCAGTTTTTCTCACGGAAGGTCAGTGGGCAGAGCCTGGGAGCGCAGGGGGTGACTGGAAAATGGGAAGGCTTTGTTCAGACAGGTTGGAAACTGCCCATCCCACGTGTGAAATCATTCACAAGTTTTTGTGTTTTTTTAATTAAAATGAACATTTTAAAGTAAGATAAACGTGTCTGCATTGGGGGAGCAAACTGAGCTTCGGGCATCTCCGCCCGGGCCGGTGGCTGCAGGCTGCGCCCTGTCCTCCCTCCCGTGTTCCGCGTCTTCACCCTCCGCCTCTGGGTTCCAGGCCTTTCTCCGCCAGAGAGAGACCCTGGGCAGAGCCTGAGGTGTCTGAGCAGGGGTGCCCTGTAGCGCGTTCAGGTGAATGTGTTCATTCACCAGATGTTCTTCAACTGCCTGCCACGTTGCGCTGTAGGCATTGGGGTACAGTGAGGAGCTCGACAGAGGTCAGACCCTGCTCCCCTGGAGGAGCTGACATTCTCATAGGAGCAGACACTGAAGAATCACCCACACACACAGGGTTACGTGGTGAGTGCAGTGGGGAAGAATAAAGCCGGGAGGGCACTGAAGGCGTGAGGACAGGAGCAGGGACATTCATGTGTAGACTTGGGTGGAGACAGGGAGGGAGGGAGCTATGTGGAGATCAGTGAGAAGAGAGTTGGGGGGGGGCCAGCTGCCAGAACAAAGGCCCTGAAGCGGGTCTTGTCCAGGGTGTGAAGAACAGTGAAGAGGCCGAGGTGGCTGGGGCAGAGGGGGAGAGGGGGCCTGTGGGAGGAGAGCTGACTGGCCAATCGTGCAAGACCTCCTGGGCCACGGGCCAGAGTTTAAGGATGTTGACTGTGCGGTGGAGCAACTGTCTTCCATGCCCACCTCTGCTTGGTGACCGTAGCAAGAGATTTCACCTTTGTGAGCCTCAGTTTCCACATCTGCACAATGGAAGTGAGGTCAGCCACTCCACAGAAGTCCTGGGGAGGCAGTGAGCTCAGCATCGGCGTCTCTGCAGGCTCAGGGTCCTCCCCCCCCGCGGTGGTGGAGGTGGTGGTGTGAGTCATGGGGCTGAGCCGCAGTAAACCACGTTTGGTGGCCGGCACTGGCTCCTGGACTGCTTTCTCGCTGCAGACAGACGTGCCAAAGGCCTGTGGAGTAGGCAGGGGAGGAGCCCCGGGCATGGAGAGTGGCGGTGGTGGGTCCTGTTTGTGCTGCCTCCCACCTACCGCTGGGGGCCTGGGCAGGTAGGAGGAGGAGGGACCCTCTCCGCCAGGACGGGTCAGGGCAGGAGAGAAAAAGCAATGTGGACAGAGGAAGGAGAAGGAGGGAGGAAGGGACAGAGACCGGGGACAGCCTTGGAGTTGATAACGATAATGACACAGAAGCACAACCACAGCACAGGCGAGTCTCCCAACTGCCCGGGTTCAAATCCTAGGGTTCCCCTCGCTGGGCCTCAGTCTTCCTACCTGTGAATTGGGGGTGGTGGGCATGCCTATCTCCCAGGTTAGGGGCGAGGGTGGAATGCGATTAGACACAGAGCAGGCCCTGGGCACACACGTCTCTCCAGGGACGCGGCTGCTGTCATTCCGAGAACTGGCGGGGCCCAGACTCAGGTTAGACCAGCCTGGTGTCTTGAGTCCACTCTGCGTCCCAAGCTGTGTGTGACTTGGGCCAGTGAGTGCCCGCTCTGTGCCTTATCTTCCTTGTCTGTGACACAAGGCCCAAGTTGGCCCCTTCCTCCGGGGTCGGGCGTGCAGATTCCGGGTCCAGTGCTTAGCAGAGGGGCCGGCAGAACCGGTGCTGCTGTCACGGTGACCAATGTGTACCGCCCGCTCTCTTGTTGTGCACACCGGCCCTGGGGCCAGGCCATCGTGCTGGGTTCTCTGTGACTGCTTGCAGGAACTCCTGGAAGCAGGTACTTTCTCGGTCCTCTTCTAATAGAAGAGGAAACTGAGGCATAGAGCTGCTGGCCCAGGGCCACGTGGCATGCTTCCACCTGGGGCCCGCCGGCTGCGGGCTGGGGGGCGGGGATGGGCAGGCAGAGTGGGAGAGGTGAGGAGTGAGGCTGGGCCTGAAGCCAGGCGGGGGCAAATCTGGGCAGACAGTGAGGAGGCAGTGGGACCAAGGCGGGCAGGTGAGCGGGGCGCATGCCTGGGCAGATGGGGGAGAGTCAGGGTGTAGGGGCCAGGAGCGGAGCTAGAGCTGCAAGAGAGGTGAGGGCAGAGAAGCCTGGAGGGAGAACGGGGTCGATCAGGGTCCCCGAGGCCTGGGAGGGTGCATGGACAGTGTTCTGGGGGCTGGAATGGGGGAGCTGCATTGAAGGGGCTCCCAGCTTGGTGGGGGTAGGGAAGGGGCTGGGGCAGAGGGCGCCCCTCACCCTGGCCAGGTCTGTTCCCCTGGCAGAGCCCTGGCCCTGGCCACCTGCTGGCCAGGAGGCCCAGGCCGGTTGAGACAGGTTGGCTGCTTGGGTCCCCACCCGCCTCCCACTGGGCTCCCTCCCGCCGCCAAACCGGTTCTCCTGGACGGCTGCCCACCGATAGTCCCACCTCTGGGCTGGGGATGGCGGCCTCTCCGCCCTCACGCCCTGCTCCTGCAGGAAAGAAGCCGGAAGGACGACCAGGGGCTGCGGGGCCGCATCGCGGATCCGCTCACGAGTGTCCTCACCGGGTCACGAGACTGACTGCACTGGGGCCAACCCCGCCCGGGCATTGTGCCAGGTGCTGAGGACCCAGCCCTGAGCCAGACAGAAATTCCCACCCAGCGCACTTCCCCTTGTCCTTGGGGTCTTAGTTCGCACGAGCCCTTTGCTGGGAAGCCTCCCGTATCCCCACCCTGCCATCCCATCCACTCTGTGACCCCAGCCCTGACCATTCTGGGCCATCAGAGGCTGTCTGGGTCACCACTCTGTCCCTCACACCGAGCAGCACAAGGCTGGGCACAAAGGAGTGAGTTGCTGATGGACGGGTGGGTGAGTAAGCACAGGATGTTTTCTTCCCACTTTACAGATGAGTAACCCGAAGCCCCAAGAGGAGACATCACCCGCCCAAGGGCACTTCTAGCACAGCCAGCAACAAAGCAGGTCTGTGGGGCTCCAGGGGCACGTGTGTGGGACCAGGGTTGGGGGGCACAGCACCTGGGCCCCTGACACAGCTGGAAGTCATCCTCATCATCAGAAGAGCAAACGCCGACTGGGTCCTCCCTCCGAGCCCTGCTCAGTAATTAACTCATTAATCCTCCCAGCAGCCCCACGGGGGTCAAGCCGAGGCACAGACAGGCTAAGTCACTTGCCCAGGGTCACACAGTAAGTGGCAGAGAGAGATTTGTACTCTGGCCATCTGGTTTCCCTGCCCTTCATGTCTCTGGCCCCCGCTGTGGGACACCACCATTCCGCATGTCCCCTTCAGCTCCTTTGGTTTTTAAATTCAGCTTTCATAGGTTCAGGAAGACCCCCTGGAGAAGGGCATGGGTACCCACTCCAGTATTCTTGCCTAGAGAATTCCATGGACAGAGGAGCCTGGCGGACTACAGTCCACAGGGTCACAAAGGTTGGACTGAGCGACTTTCACTTTCATTGAGCGTTTACTGCTGCTGTGCCGGTACTGTTGTGAGTACCGGCCTAGAAACCACAGGCCCTAAAGACAGGGGCAGTTTACTCTATTAGGATTCTTCAGGAAGTGGGTCTTGCCCCACTCTGTGAGGACCTTGCCTCCTCCAAGCCTCAGTCTCCTCATCTGTAAAGTGGGAGTGTATTAGTGAAGCTGCTTAGGAGTCACATATCGGACAGGAGCTTGGTAACCATGTGTTGAACCAGTATCCAGAGGTATGTGCTGTTTCTAGCGCACAGTCCAGGCTGAGAAAGCAGGCACAGAAGTGGCAGGCCTTAGGCACCAGTCACAGAGCACATACTGTGTGTTGGGCGTGGGGTGTGGGGCTGAGACACCAGGAAACTGGGCAGATGAGACCAGGCCCATATCACTGAGAGTTGTGATGGGCGTTGTAAACACTGAACTATAAACACAAGACTGACTCTGTGTGTGTAAGTCACTCAGTTGAGTTCGATTCTTTGTGACCCCGTGGACTGTAGCCGACCAGGCTCCTCTGTCCATGGAATTCTCCAGGCAGGTACACTGGGGCAGGTAGCCGTTCCCTTCTCCAGGGCATCTGCCTGACCCAGGGATTGAACCCAGGTGTCCTGCATTATGGGCAGATTCTTTACCATCTGAGCCACCAGGGGAGCCCAAACATAAAACTGAGCAGCAGTTTCCAGAAGTTAAACATGCTGTGAGCTGGGATGGAAGGACGGGGGGCCTGGGGCACGTTCAGGAGAGGAGTCACCAGTGACTGGCGCCTGAAGCAGGCGGGAGTCAGGCGTCAGGCCCCACAGAGGGAACCGCCATGGCAGAGGCCCTGAGGTTCGGAAGCCAGTGTGAGCCAGAAGAGCTGAGAGCAGAGAAGTCCTCCACGAGGAGTGCTCGCCTTTCTACCTGAGTGGGGTGGGGCCGCCAGTGGGCTCCGAGCCAGGGGCCTGACTCGAGTGTTCACAGAGTCTCTCGGGCTGCAGGTGGGGTATGGCTATGGAAAGGGTGGGGGAGTGGGGAGACCAGGGAGGAATGGAGGATGGAGGAGAAGCAGCAGGTTCTGGCAAGCCGCCCCCTTCCGCAGGCCTGCCGGCCGGAGCCCCAGTCTACACCCTCTCCACACAGAGAGCCTGGCGCCATGTTTGGGAAGAAGAAGAAGCGGGTCGAGATCTCGGCGCCGTCTAACTTCGAGCACCGCGTGCACACGGGCTTCGACCAGCATGAGCAGAAGTTCACAGGGCTACCCCGCCAGTGGCAGAGCCTGATCGAGGAGTCAGCTCGCCGGCCAAAGCCCCTCATCGACCCCGCCTGCATCACCTCCATCCAGCCTGGGGCCCCCAAGGTATGCCAGCGCCCGCCACTGCCTCTCCTGACCTGCACCGACCCCCGTGGGGTGACCCCAGCCCTCAGCCTCACCCTTGACCCTCCCTTGCTGACCACCAAACAGACACACCCCAACCACACCCCCCATCCTCACCTTTCACTCACCCATCCACCACTGATCCCTCACCTGGCACCAGCGCCAACCCACCTTCCCTTCCTGAGAAGCCCCCGCTGACCTTGACCCTCTGACGGTCCCCCACGCCAGCCCCAAGTCGTTCGTCTGTCCTGAGCCCTGTGCTCCTGTCCCCAGGACCACAGACTCGTCCTGGGTCTTAGCAGGCCTCCTGTCGCAGGCAGAGGGACAGACCAGTTCCCACGTGGTGACCGCCACAGTGGTCAGGGCTGGGCCAGGAGAGGCCCGAGGGGCCGTCTGACCCAGCCCCCGGGTCCAGACCAGCTTCCTGGAGTCAGGGTCACCTGAGCTGAGCCCTGGGGGCGGAGGCCAAGGAGGAGTGACTCAGGCAGATGGTGGAGAGCCAGGGCTTGTAGTGGAGGAAGCAGCCTGCGTGAAGCATTGGGGGTGGAGAGAGGGGGCGGTTTGTTTTTTTTTCCCTGCCATCTTAAGCAAACAGTGCCGAGCTGGGATTTGAATCGAGGTCCATTTCCAAGGCCCATGCTCTTAACCCCATTCCTGTTTCCATGGTCTTGGCCCCCAGGCGTGGCCTGTGGTGAGGCTGGTCTGGGGGCAGGGGGTGTGGCCCCCGCAGCCTGCGAAGCCAGCCTTGGAGCATAGACTTTACCCGAAGGGCAGTGGGAACCAGGAAGGGCAGCCTGGGTTGTTCCGAGGGGCGGGGGTGGGGGTGGGTGGGCTGGTCAGCAGGCCCGGGGCTGACTCATGCTCACTGGTGCCCTGGCTGCCATGCCCAGCCCAGCCCTGCCCAGCCCAGCCTGGCGGGAGGAGCCCCAGGCCAACGCTCTCCTCCAGGGTCTCCCACTGAGGTGTTTGTACGCCCTAGGTAGGGGGCTTGGGATCCTTTGAATTCTTTGCCACTGCCTAGAAAAGCAAGATCTTACATCCAAGTCTCTGTTTCTGCCTTCTGGTGAATCGGCCAGGGCCACTGGAGGGGCAGCTGCCTGCGCAGGCAGGGTGCCAGCTCATCTGGGCCCGCTGGCCCCACCCGCCCACCTCGGTCCCACCCGCTGCCAGGCCCTGTGTCTGCATGCCTGCTGGTTATGCCCTCATTCAGGCACTTCCTAAAAATCCTCCCCAACCCCCCCAGGGATTCCTGACCTCTTATTCCAGCACCAAAGCCTGAGCAGGTGTCTGTCTCCCTTGTTTCACTGGGCGCCTGGGGCAAGACCAGGCTGCCCTACTAGCAGCCAGGGTCCAGGGAGAGGCAGGGGGCAGGGGCTGGCCCACAGGGCACGGTGGTCTGTCGGTGGGTTTTGCGGGGTTCGAGTTTTCTGCACATTTGAGGCAGTGCTGGCCTCATGATGTCTGGCAGCCCATGGACCTGCCTGCCAGTGACTGATGCCTAGGACTGGGGCCTGTGCTCTGCTCCGGCCGCCCCTTCCCAGCCTGCTGGTGCCTCACTCACTCACTCATGGACTCAGCAGGTACTTACTGAGCACCTTATGCATACCAGCCACTGTTCTAGACGTTAGATGCAGCCAGAGCTGAAGCAGCCAGGAAGAAACAGTGGCCACCCTCACAAACACTGCACCAGGGGAGCAGGCCACGGACAGCTGTACACAGCCTTCACGTCCGCTGGTTCTAAGTGCTCTAGAGAAAAGGAAAGCAAGAGAGCGGAATAGGGAGGGTTCGAGGCTGGCACTTTAGACCACAGGAAATCAAGGAGAGTCTGCAGCAGAGATCTGAAGGGGGCTGTGCACTGGGGAGGGGAGCCCCGAGCAGGCAGAGGTGAAGGTGTTCCCGGCAGAGTGAGCAGCCAGTGCCTGAGGTTGGGGTATGTCTGGTGTGTTTGAGGAGCAGTTAAGAGGCCCTGTGTGCCTGGGGCTTGTGGGTGAGGGCCCCTGGGGGGAGCCTTGGAGGCAGTGACCTGGATCAGGATGGTGGCCATGGCAGGCAGTGTGGGCCTGGGACAAACTTTACGTTCACGTTCCCCCACACCGGCCCTTGGGCTCTCCTGCCCTCTGCTCCGGGCCCAGACCTTTCTCACTTTACTTTCCCCACCCTCAGCCTCCGTGGGAGCAGAGAGCGTGTTTGGGGCTCATATCCCTGCCAGGCTGCAGGCAAGGAAGTGCCAAGCTGGACCCTGGCCCCCGCATCCTGTAATTTGCAGCTTTCCAGGGCTTATTATGGGCTGGCGTGGCCTCTGCCCTCCTTCCCCTCCACCCCGTAGGGCAGGGACCGCCCCTGCCCCCCAAGCCTGGAGAACTAGGAAGAGCAGGGGGTGCTTCTCCGAGGGGCATCCTGGGAACCTGTGCTCCCAGCCCCGGGGCAACAACCCAATGGGGGGTGCGGGGCAGCTCGGTGCTGGGGGAGGGGCTGTGGGGGCCTCCCGGGCCCGCCCCCACCCTCCCAGCCCACCATCACCCCATGGCATTTCTTCATTGCGTCTCTGTCTTGTCTCTGTGTGTGTTGTGTTGTCCTGTCCACCTGTGTTGGATGCCCGTCCTGTGTCCCCCTCCTCCTTGCCCGGCCCCCACCCTGCCATTGCCCTGGACCCCAGACCATCGTGCGGGGCAGCAAAGGCGCCAAGGATGGGGCCCTCACGCTGCTGCTCGACGAGTTCGAGAACATGTCGGTGACGCGGTCCAACTCCCTGCGGAGAGACAGCCCGCCGCCACCTACCCGTGCCCGCCAGGAAAACGGGATGCCCACGGAGCAGGCCGCCATGGCCAGAGGGGGCCCAGAGAAGGCGGGCAGCCAAGGCCGGGGGGCCGGTCACGGCGAGGCGGGTGGCAGCAGTGGTGACAGGCGGCGGGCAGGGCCGGACAAGAGGCCCAAGTCTTCCAGGGAGGGCTCAGGAGGGCCCCAGGAGTCCTCCCGGGACAAGCGCCCCCTCTCTGGGCCTGACGTCGGCACCCCCCACCAACCCGCCAGTCTAGCCAGCGGGGCAAAAGTGGCGGCTGGCCGGCCCTTTAACACATACCCGCGGGCTGACACGGACCACCCGTCCCGGGGCACCCAGGTAACCACTCCCCCACCCCAGGACCCCTGACCGTCGCCTTGCCCACCCTGTTCCCGCCCACCAACTCCAGCCCGCCCCAGCACACTGTCCATCTCCATCTTGACCGCCATATGTCTGTCCCGCAGCCGGGGTCCCTGTCCCCCAGCCCCTCCCCTGACAGCCGCCTCTCTTTTCTGTTGCAGGGGGAGCCTCACAACATGGCCCCCAATGGGCCATCAGTGGGGGGCCTGGCCGTCCCCCAGTCCTCCTCCTCCCGGCCCCCTGCCCGAGCCCACGGCGCCCCCAGCCCTGGAGTGCTGGGCCCCCACGCCTCTGAGCCCCAGCTGGCCCCTCCAGCCCGCGCCCTCGCCGCCCCCGCCGTGCCCCCCGCCTCCCCCGGCCCCCGCTCACCACAGCGGGAACCCCAGCGAGTGTCCCACGAGCAGTTCCGGGCTGCCCTGCAGCTGGTGGTGGACCCCGGCGACCCCCGCTCCTACCTGGACAACTTCATCAAGATCGGTGAGGGCTCCACCGGCATCGTGTGCATCGCCACTGTGCGCAGCTCCGGCAGGCTGGTGGCCGTCAAGAAGATGGACCTGCGCAAGCAGCAGCGGCGGGAGTTGCTCTTCAACGAGGTGGGCCTGCCGCCCCGCTCCCCCTGGGGCTCCCGCCTCCCCCCAGATCTCCCTGCCCCCCTTGCTCCTCCTGGGGTTCCCCTGCTCCCCCCAGGGCTCCCCCACCTGCCCCATTCCTCCCGGGGCTCCCCGCCTCCCCACCTGCCCTTCCTGGGGCTCCCCTACCCCATAGTTTAGAGGGCGTGCAGGGCTGAGAACTGGGAGAGGCTCTGTGGGGCTGGGGTTTGCCAGGCGTGGGTTCTGAGACTAGCTCCTGTCTTCACTCCTCACGCCTCCCCAGGCTGTCTCCTCTGTCCCCACGATACCCACTGCCATGCCATCCTGGCCTGGCCTGGCCAGGCTCCAAGCCTCAGCTCCAGGCCCCGAGCCCCACTGACCCTCTGCGTGCCTTCCAGCCCCTCACCACCAAGTCCCATGCTGGCCCCACAGTGTTGACCCCACACCTGCCTCTCCTGGTTCCCCATCTCAGAGAGGTCCCACCACCCCTGTCCCCAGGCCAGGGCCCTGAAGCTCCCCGCTCACACCCCAGCCCCTCAGGCCTGAGCCTGTCACCCTTCCCCCACGCAGTGGCCTGCCGGAGCTGCGCACAGTGAGCATCGTGTCCCCCACCTCCAGGCTTTGCCTTGCTAGGCCTTCCTGCCCCTGGAATCTAACCCCCACCCCTGCCTTGTGTCTGAGCTGCCTGCTCGTCCTTCCAGTCTCAGCCCTGTGCTTAATGCTCTCGTCCCAGCGCCCTCTCCCAGTGCCAGCCTGGCCATCAGGGCCACTTGCAGACCCACTCAGGGCTGATCAGAGATCAACATCAGCAATGTGAGGTGTGCATGGGGTGGGAGCACCCTGGAATAGAATACAGATGTCAGGCCCCTCGCTGCCTGTGGGTCTCTGGGCTTCGGCCGTGGGAGGACAGTCCCTGGACTGGACCCCGATGAGCAGAAGTGGCAGGTGGAACTGGACCTGCAGTTTGGCAGGGCCCCCACCCAGGCCGAGAGGGAGGGCTCTGGCAGCAGGGGCTGGCGGTCCTCCCTCCGCGGTGCCAACCCCGCCTCCCGCATGCAGGTGGTGATCATGAGGGACTACCAGCATGAGAACGTGGTGGAGATGTACAACAGCTACCTGGTCGGCGACGAGCTCTGGGTGGTGATGGAGTTCCTGGAGGGAGGCGCCCTCACCGACATCGTCACACACACCAGGTCAGTCGGGCAGCTGGACGCCGTGGCACCCAGCCTGCTGGGTCCCCAGAGTGCCCCCAGGCCTCTCCCATGACAGGACTGCTCTCCGCCAGACCCTTGGGGCGGGTCCACATCTCAGAACCAACTCGCTGTCCCCATCAGACCCCAGGGCGGGGCCCTGTCTGCCCCCCTCACCCCTCGCCCCGCACCTGCCTGCCCTCCCAGGATGAACGAGGAGCAGATTGCCGCCGTGTGCCTGGCCGTGCTGCAGGCCCTGTCCGTGCTCCACGCCCAGGGGGTCATCCACCGGGACATCAAGAGCGACTCCATCCTGCTGACCCACGACGGCAGGGTGAGCAGTGGTGGGGTGGCTTGGCCTCCCCTGACTTCTGCCCAGCTCTCCCCTTGCATGTAGGGTGGGCCCAACCCCCAGTTCAGACCTTTGAGGAGCAGTACGTGTATTCCTTCTTTGTGCATCAGTCCAGAGTCAGGGGTTCAGGTGAGTGGGGGGCTCTGCCATCATCAGCCCCAGCCACTGAGAACTGGAGTCTAGCCCTGTACCCAGAAAGGGGAGACTGTATCTGGGTGGCCGGCCACAGCTCTCAGCCGTGTGAGAACCTACTTCTGGCCTGGCATCCAAGACTGGGCCGTGGACTCTTGGTCCTGTCTTCTGGACCAAAGCTCCGAGTTTGCAGTCCATGGATGAGCCTCATGGTCCCAGAACCTGCATTCATATTCCAAGAGTGGATGTGATTTTTCAGTGGGAGAGGGCCCTTGACTTTCACCAGATTCTGGTGATCTGCCTGTGCTCCCCCAGGAAAGTTAAGTCAGTTCACAGAGGCAGGGGGGTCGGGGGAAGGCTTTGCTTCCCAGGGAGTCTCGGTACGGGTCATAAACACTTGAAGATTCTACAGACATGTTTGGGGGACACAGGTGAGCACAGAACTGTATGTGCACTGTGTGAGCATGCTCTCTGGAGGGTCCATTGACATCCTCAGGAGTCTGAATAGGGCCCATAGTTCCCAAGAAGGTGTGAATCCTTGGTTCTGGGGAGGTGGTTGTTGCAGAGGGACAGGCAGCATCGCTCTCACCCCCTGCCAACTGAAGACATGCCGCCTGCCGGGAAGCCAGGGCCCAGGGCACAGCACTGGGAGCCAGCCCCGGTCCAAATCCCTGCCCAGCCTCTGGTACCCACGGGACTCAGGCTGCCTCCCCCAAGAGCCTCAGCACAGACCCTGTCAAGGAGGCAGATGTGTGATTTCGGGCAGCTGACACAGCTGAGGGCCCCAGCCAGGAGACGGCAGAGTTCCGCCGAGGTCAGGCTCTAACCTCGGGGTGGCATGTAGAAACCCAGTGTGTCAGAGGCTGAGGAATTGAACAGGTGACCGCCTCTGCTCATTCTGCCCCGCCAGCACCTCTGATCCCCACTTTTGCGCCCTGTTCCAGGTGAAGCTGTCAGACTTCGGGTTCTGCGCCCAGGTGAGCAAGGAGGTGCCACGGAGGAAGTCCCTGGTGGGCACGCCCTACTGGATGGCCCCGGAGCTCATCTCCCGCCTGCCCTATGGGCCAGAGGTGAGCCAGAGGCAGCCGGTCACCCTGCTATCAGCACTGGTTTATGCTGTCGCAGTCCAGAACAGCCAGAATGTTGGGGTGAGGGGGCTTGGTCACCAGGGACAGACTTGCCTGTGTGCACTCCTCACCAACTGGGTTCTAGTTCAGAGCCAGCGCTTGGCAATGGGAACAGGAGGCTGGGCAGAAGCAGCCCCGGCCCTGCCTGCCAGCCTGGGGCAGAGGCTTCAAACTGGCTGAAGCGCTCTGAAGATGCTCTTGCAAGCATTTTTTTAAAAAGAGTTCTCATGTGAGTCTGAGTTTGATCCCCTGTTGTGAATCCAAGTGATCTGGGCACAAGGAGGCCACATTCCCTCATGGCAACAGTCAGGTGCTGAGGAGCAGGGGGACCTTCATCTTGGTCACAGCCCCCACCCATTGTGTTGCCTACACTAACCTGCTTTGCTCCCTGCCATTCCCTGTCTGGCCCTGAGGTCTTCCAGCTATGGCCTGTGCCTCTGACGACAGTCAGTCAATAAGACTTGACCCAGTGCCTGGCCAGGGTGCCCGTGGAAGCATAGCTTGGGGAACTGCAGGCAGGAGTGGGGTCACATTGGGAGGGGAGGCCGGTAGCAGATTCTGAGGGACCATCTCCACCAGGACTTCCTGTGACAAAACCTCTCAAGACGGATTTAGCAAAGTGGAAAAGTGTGGGTCCCTAGGACTGAAAAGTTGGCGGGGGCACAGGCTTCATGCCCAGCTGTCTGTGTGCAGTGTCCCTCCCGGCTCTGATTGTCCCCGAGTAGTCCTCACTCAGGCAGGTGCTGCCCCCATCAGAGCAGAAATGACCCTGGCAACTTCAGGACGCGTCTCCCTGCCTGTGAGCACTGTTCTCCTGACTGTCTTGCTTAAAGTCTCAGGTTTGACTGTGATTGGCTCAGCTTGGGTCACGTGTCCGTTTCTGACCCAATTACTGTTTCCGCACTCTGCTGATTAAGACAGCTTGATCATGCACCATGGACTGAAGTAGCAAGGAGGGGGTTCTCCAGGGGAATCCAGGGGCAGGGGGAGGGGGTAGCAAAAAGAAGGGGATGGATGCAGGGTGGGCAGAACCCTTCAGGGGGTTCCCTGGGTGAGGAGTGCATAGGGTCTGGCAGGCTGAGTATCAGTGTTCAGGGCCCCAAAACTCCAGAGTGAAGAGGCAAAGATGGAAGCAGGGCCACCGTCTGTGGGTGTCCCCCAAGCGCTGGCCACACCCACACAGCTCAGCCCTGCTGCCCTGCCCCCACCACAGGTGGACATCTGGTCTCTGGGGGTGATGGTGATCGAGATGGTGGATGGGGAGCCCCCTTACTTCAATGAGCCACCCCTCAAAGCCATGAAGATGATCCGGGACAACCTGCCGCCCCGACTGAAGAACCTACACAAGGTGGGCCCTCCCGCAGGTGGCGGGTGCGGGGGAGACCACACATGGGTGGGGGAGGGCACCACCCAGCCCCGAACCCACGGACAGCTCAGGGTGTGGGCAGGACGAGGCTGTTGATGGCTCTAAGGAGGTGCTTACTGCGTGCCGAGTCACTCCCACGTCCCCCCAGGCCTCGAGTATCTGTGTGGGCTGTGCCCTCAGCCCCTCAGAGCTTGTGCTCAGGCTGGCTGGCACGCACCGCAGCGAGGTCCAGCAGAGGGGCCTTCCTGGTGGGGAAATTGCCTGGTGAAAAGGGGGTGCCTCCAGGGCCCAGCTGTTGCCAGCTCCTGCCGAATCATGAAGGTGGGGAGGCGGTGAGCCCCTGGGGCCAAGCTGTAGATGCTGAGGGCCTCTCTGCCCCTCCCTGGGCAGTAAATGCCATCAGCCCTTGGGTCGGAGGAAACCGGGGGCCTGATGGCAAGTGAGCAGTGGAGCCGCTCACCGACCCTCCCACCCCCTCCCGACAGGTGTCACCATCCCTGAAGGGCTTCCTGGACCGCCTGCTGGTGCGTGACCCGGCCCAGCGGGCCACGGCGGCCGAGCTGCTCAAACACCCGTTCCTGGCCAAAGCGGGCCCGCCCGCCAGCATCGTGCCCCTCATGCGTCAGAACCGCACCCGATGAGGCCCGGTGCCACCCCCACCCCTGAACCAAAGAGCCCCCTGGGTCACCCCTGCCCGGCCAGAGGCCAGTAGGGGGGCCGGCCCCCGCTCCTCCCAGCCCGGGAGACACTCCGTGTGGNGCTCCGGGGACAGAACCACCGCTTGAAGAATCAGGTTCCTGGCCCCTCAGCGCAGCCCCGCCCTCCCCTCCCTCAAGTTAGTTTTACAATTAAAACATTTTCTTGTTTTGTGTGTGTGCAGTGTGTAGAACTTCCCCCCAACCCCCAAACCCCAACCTGCTGGTGGGGAGAGCTGGTGGGGTGGGGCTCTAGGCTTGGGGGTAGGCTTGGCTGACCCCAGGATTACAGACCCACTATGGGCCAGGGCCATGTCTCTAGCAAGGAGTGGGGGGGGAATTCCAGCCCAGCAGCCAGTAACGTGCCTTCTCATGGGGACCGGATCGATGACCCCAGGCCTGGAAAGGCAGCCAGTTGACCAGTCCACATGCCAGGATGACCAGTTTGCCATGTCTGCGATTTGCTGGAAACATAACGGTTGGGTGGAGCGCATTCAGTGGAGAACTGATCCTTGGGAGCTGATGTTAGGAAACTGGTCAGCAGGCAGATGGGCTTTGGGGGGATCGGCTACAACAGAGGGACCCAAGGCTGCCAGCCTCAGAAACATTCCATTGGCTGAGTCCTTCCCTCCAGGCTGAGGCTGGGGAGGTGGGGGCTGAGCCTGGGTCTCAGGAGGAAAGCCCGCTGACAGGTGACACCGCTGCTTCTGCATTCTGTGCCCCAGGCTGGGGTGGGCTTTGCACACACCCTCTCCAGCACCTGGGAGAGCACGGAGGGAAGCCCCCACCCAGAGCCCTCCAGGCATCAGTGGCAGCAGGGACCTCAAGCTGGTGTGCGGGCAGACAGTGTAGAGAAGACCCAGAGAGTCCGGCTTAGTCCTGTCTCGCCCCCACTGTCAGCACCTGCCCCCTTAGCACCCCTCTCCACAGGCCCTGAGTCCCCCAAGAATCAGGGCTCTGTGTGACCACCTGGCTGAACACATGCATGATAGACAGACAGACATAGAGATTTAAAACAGCAGTACTGCCAACTACTGCTGTATACAAGTGTGTTTGAGGCCTGGGTGAGATGGATACATTTTCTATGGGAGGAAAAAATATATATATGCCAAAATTGGTATGGGGAGCACAAGAAAAGACTGAAATACGCCCTCCACAGCCACCCCCTGACAACACACACACACACAGAGCTTCAAACTGGAGTACTTTTACAAATGAATTCCACCCGACAGATGGATCAGGTAATTCCCACCTTATACAAGTTGTTACGGAAAATAGAAAAAAGGATAGCTCCGGGCTCCTTGCAGAGGCTGCTACGCCCCGAGCCAAGAGCCAGATAAGGCCAGTGGAGAGAAGATGGCTGTCTCTTCCTCAAGGTCCTGTGTGAACTCACGGGATACCCGGAGAGCTTTAGGTTCAGGGACGGGAATCATCTGCCCATCCATTGTGTGATGGGGGCAGCTCTGCATGGTTCCATGGAGACTCCACTGTTGCTGTCACCTTCAGTCACCGTCACTGCTGTTTCAAGAAGGGTCTTGGGTGGTGTGAGGGCATCTCCTCCTCCAGACCTCCCTCCAGGTACCACGCAGACAGGGTGCCCAGGGTATCAGTCATCCTCTGCAGTTGTTTCCAGTGGGGTCTGGGAGCAGGGAGGGGCAGGGCTTAATCCAGGGGGTTGGTTTCCAAGGCGCTGGGAAGACCAGAGGACCCAGCCGTGCAGTGGTCAGTTGCTCCATTGTGTCGCTTTTTGTGACCCCATGGACTGTAGCCCGACAGGCTCCTCTGTCCATGGTATTGTCCGTACAGGAATACTGAAGCAGGTTGCCATTTCCTCCTCCAGGGGATCTTCCCAACCCAGAGATCGAACCTGCATCTCCTGCATTGCAGGCAGATTCTTGACCGCTGAGCCAGTGAGCCAACCAGCAGTTATTAAAGGCAGGAGACCGCCGCCTCCTGGAGGCTGGAGTAACAAAGGAGTCAGTGGCAGGACCAGAATCCCAGAATGGGTCAGCTGTGGCTGGAACGCGGTTGCTCTCCCCACTTCTACCTTCTGCTCCCACTCCAGTGCCTCCTACCGCCAGGACCTCACTGATGTCCACTGGCAAGGGAGTTCTACAAGGAGTTTTCAGACTTCCCGTCTCTACAGTACAAGGGAGCTCTTAGAAGTGCAAGTGGGGCAGAGTAGCAGCGGACACGTCCCTCCCAGCCACGTGGCCTGGAGGACTCCCTCTGTCCACAAGATACTGACCAGGCACCGAGTGAACGTTGCCTCCGCTGCAGCAGGGGGCACTCTGGGTGCCGGTCTGAATTGCAGACGCCCAGGAAGGGGAGTCAGGGATGTACTCACCTGTGGGTCAGACGTGTGTTTACACCGACACAAAATGAGTGATTGAAACAAGTCGGACTGGTGGCTCTCAAAGTGTAGTTGCTGGGCCAGCACCATCCCTGGGAACTTGCTGGAAATGCAAGTTGCTAGGCCCCACGCCAGGCTGAATCAGAGACTCTGGGTGGCGCCAGCAATCTGTATTTTAACAAGCTTTCCAGGGGATGCGGATGCCCTCCATCCTAGGATTGCGGCCCCTCCCACGTGAATAGGAGGGCATGCCCCTCCCCTTTAAGGACGTTACCCAAAGGTTTCCCCGTGGCCCCTTTGGCCTGAGTTAATCACAAGGCCACGCTCAGCAACAAGGAGGTTGGGAAATGTAGTCTATTCTGGGCAGCTGTGCGTCTAAAACTTCTATCACTACCAGATCTTGCTGTTCACTAAATGCGCCAGGCTTCACCCCAGAACATTCAGAGGCAGACCCAAGTGTACGCAAGAGCAAACGGATGGGGGGTGGGGGGAATAGATTGCTTAATAACGATATTGAGGAAATTGGTTCATCTTATAGCAACCCACTCCATTGTTCTTGCCTGGAGAATCCCAGGGACGGGGGAGCCTGGTGGGCTGCCGTCTATGGGGTCGCACAGAGTCGGACACGACTGAAGCGACTTAGCAGCAGCAGCAGCAGCATGAAAAAAAACTGACTCCTTACCAAATACAACTGAGGTCGGTACAGTGCAGGGCAGTAGCCGCTATTCACATGTGCTTATTTACTTTTTAAATTGAAATAAAATTAAGTATTTAGTCTCTCTGTTGCCCTACCCACATTTCACACGTTCAGTTGCTGCTTCTGGCCAGCGGCTGAGAATTACACATTAGAGATGTGAAAACTATTACCTTAGTTTGTCGGACAGTGTTTCTCTAGCTGGATTAAACATCACCATGAAAGGTCAACTATAAAGTTGATGGAGGAAAATAATTGATAACCTAGGGGCAGAGAAGGACTTCTGAAAACCCCAAAGGAATAAAATACGAAGGAAAAAAATATAAATTTGATTATGCCAAAATTAATTTTCTTCAAGGAAGGACATAATGGGCAAATGTACTGGGTTTCAGAATGGGAGAAAATATTTGCAAATCCTAACATCTTTAAGATATATCTTTTTTAAATAAGAAAAAGAGCATTCCTTACAGAAAAATGGGCATACGCAATGGTATAAACAAGCAACTAAGGAAAAAATTCCAAAAACCAACAAGGATATGCACAGGTGGTCAAGCTCATTAGTAATCAGAGAAACACAAATTCCAGGGACTTCCTTGGTGGGCCAGTGGCTAAGACTCCGAGCTCAGAATGCAGGGGGTCCAGGTCAGGGAATTGTTAATATATCCCGCGTGCTCCAAGTAACTTTCCATGCCGCAACAGAAAAAAGACCCCGCTTGCCGCAACTAAGGATCATACATGCTGTAATGAAGACAGATCTCAATGCTGCAACTAAGACCCAGTGCCACAAATAAATTAATAATAAACATTTACTGTTTTTTTTTTTTTAAAAAAAGCAAATTTTAACAATGAGCTATCATTTTAACATTACGAATCAGGTAAAAATTAATGTCTGTTTTAGTCAAATGAAGTGCTCCAAGTGCGAATCGCCTAACAATTCCACTCTTGGGTGAGTTCCCAAAGAAATTCTCTCTTGGGACCATGAGGGGGCGTGCCCAAGGATGTTCACGGCAGCAGTCTTTATGTGGGAGCTGAGGAGAGCCAGGGCCCACCTGTGCCCACAGGAAGAAGCCAAGCCAACCAAGTCTGCAGATGAAAAATTGTGGATATAAAATAGTCCTGGCTTCCCAGGTGGCTCAGTGGTAACAAACCCGCCTGCCAATGCAGGAGACTGAGGTTTGATCCCTGGGTCAGGAAGATCCCCTGAAGAAGGATATGGCAACTCACTCCAGTGTTCCTGCCTGGGAAATTCCATGAATAGAAGAGCCTGGTGGGCTAAAGTCCATGGGATCCCAAAAGAGTTGGGCACGACTAAACAGCAACATTTTGCAAGACCAAAAAAGAGACTTGTTCACACAATAGAATGACTCCCATGAGAAGAATGGGAAAAGGAGGGGCATAAAAGAAGGAGTGACAGAACAGGAGAGGGGGCTTGTGAGGAATAAAGGCCTTGAAGGCCACGATGAAGGTCTGTTTTGTAAGCAAAGGGCAACCCCCTTTGGTGTGGGTTGGGGTCTGGTTACAGGTATTTAAAAGGAGAATTATCCAGGAGATTCTAGCATGCAGCCGGGAATGAGGATGGCAGTTTATCTGCCGCAGTATTGAAGGTCTGTTTTGTAAGCAAAGGGCAACCCCCTTTGGTGTGGGTTGGGGTCTGGTTACAGGTATTTAAAAGGAGAATTATCCAGGAGATTCTAACATGCAGCCGGGAATGAGGATGGCAGTTTATCTGCTGCAGTAAGTCACTGCGGACCTCAAACCTCGTGCCTGCCTCCCGCCATGTCCCACAGGGGAACGAGCCAAGGAATCATCCCACACCTTCCCCCATTTCACAGATGAGACTGAGGTCACATGGCCTACAGGGGCCAGACCTAAAGCCGTGAGTCCCTCATTGGCTTTCTTCTTTAAAAAAAAAAAAATTTTGTTTATTTATTTATGGCTGTGCTGGGTTTTTCTTGCTGCCCTGACTTTTCTCTAGTTGCATTGAATGGGAGCTACTCTCCA